GAGGCTGGGGGTGAAGCACCTGGCTCCAGGGTAGGGCGGGGGATTGGGAATGGAAGTAAAGAGAACTGACTGAGCATCTGTTCTTGTCCCACCTTGAGCTTAGGTGGGGAGCCGTGTAGGCATTCGTCGGGGGGCAGATGACACAATGCACATCCTGGTAGATGGAGAAGATATGGGCCCTGCTGCCACTGGCATCGCCAAAGTAGGTCTAAGAGCTTCTTTGGGTTCTGGGTATGGGTTGTTGGGTGTAGGGTTCATGCTGTTTTCTGACTTCCTTGGTCTTATGTCCCCAGAATGTATGGGCTGTGTTGGATCTTTATGGGCCAGTACGCAGTGTGTCCATTGTCAGCTCAACAAGGTTGGAGGAACCAGAAGGCACCCAGCCACCTTCTCCCAGCTTGGATACTGGCAGTGAGGGCGAGGAGGATGACGAGGGAGAGGAGCATGGACTAGGAGTAAGAAGCTGTGGTAGGGCCTGCTGGGCATGGGGATGAGCAGTGGTGGACTGTTGGTTGCCAAGCTCTTGGGTTCTCCCTGGTCCAGTAGAGGCTCATACTTGACCTTTGTGTGCACCCACCCCAGTGTGATAGGTGAGACCTGCCATTGGCTCCCTATGCAGCTTAGTCTCTTGCTCCACACCAGGGCCAAAATCAGGTGGGTATTATGCCCACAGCCCTCGAATTCCTGGAGAACCATGGGAAGAATATCCTCTTGTCCAATGGAAACCGTACAGCCACACGGGTGGCCAGCTATAATCAGGGCATCGTTGTCATCAGCCAGCCCCTGGTGCCCCAGCTGCTTGTTCAGGTGTGTCCTTCCTCCTCCCTGTCTCCCATTACTACAGAGTGAGGGGCCCTTTCTGCTGCAAACTAAAAGACAGGTAAAAAGTTATCCAGGTAAAAGAGACCTCTAGAAAGGATCAGGGTTCAGGGGGCTAAAGAGATGGCTCAGCAGTTGAGAACACTGTCTGTTCTTCCAGAGGACCCAGGTTTGATTCCCAGCACCCACATAGCAGTTAACCATCCATGACTCCAGTTCTAGGGGATCCAACACCTTCTGGCCTCTGCGGGCTTTGCATGACCCAAGTGCACTTACATAAATGTAGGCAAAACACATACACTTAAATAAATACATTTTTTTTTTTTTTTAAAGACCAAACTTCAAAGAGAAGGGATACTGGGGGTGTAGCAGCTCAGTGGTAGAACACTTGCTTGACCTGTTTAAGGCTCTGGGTTCAATTCCTAGCAGCACGGAAAACAGGGAAGGAAACATCTGAGTCAATAGTTTCTGGTCCCTACAAATGTCAGAAAGGGAAGTGTCCTAGGGTTTGGATGGGTGGGAGGTTGGCCTCTGCCTAGGAAGCTGTGATTGTAGAGTACTTCCTTCTCACACAGGTGCGAATAGACTTCCTGAACCGACAGTGGACATCTTCCCTTGTTCTGGGAGTCATCACCTGCCCACCTGAGAGGCTTAACTTCCCTGCCTCTGCTTGTGCCCTCAAACGGGCAGCCTGGCTTCTGAGGGGCCGTGGTGTCTTCCACAATGGTCTAAAGGTGAGGAGGGAGCCAGCAAGAATGGACTCTGGAGAAGGGGCTGGCCAGAGAGGAGAAGTGTGTGTCATTACCTGGGCAGACTTTTGGGCCTATTGCTTCCTGCTGTGCTCCTGCCATTGAGAGTGTTATAGTTAGTTGGGAGTGAAAGGGGAGAGTCTAGATAAATGGATTGGGAGTAGAGCCTCAGCAGTGGGCAAGGGCAGAGGCCGAGTCCAGGGACTGTCAACTAGAAGGTGAAAGGGCAAGATGGCTGTGGGTGGGGAATCTGATGTCTAGAAGACAGTAGGTCTCTCCTCTCAGATCTGTGAAAAATTTGGACCAAATCTCGATACGTGTCCTGAAGGCACCATCCTGGGACTGCGGCTAGACTGTTCTGGGGGGCTCCATCTCCACATCAATGGGGTGGACCAAGGGATAGCTGTGCCAGACGTGCCCCACCCCTGCCATGCCCTTGTGGATCTCTATGGACAGTGTGAACAGGTTAGTGGCAATGAAGGTAGGGAGAAAGGAGTCCTGGAAGACTGGGAAATTTGTAGTCTACAAAGAGAATCATTAAGAAGCTCTGGGGACTTGTCAAGCCCTAGATGACCACCTTACTCCCCTGCAGGTGACAATTGTGAGTCCTGACCTAGGGGCTGCCAGTGGGAAGATTGCTGGAACCCAAGGGGACATGGAGAAAGCTGATATGGTAGACGGTGCGCCAGCCCCAAGGGATGATGATCCTATCCCTGCTTCCCCACCATAACCCTGTTCTTGTCCTCACCCCAGCTCCTATGACCTGTTCCCCTCTGCTCCTTCAGGTATCAAGGAGAGTGTGTGCTGGGGTCCACCACCTGCTGCTAGCCCTTTAAAGAGCTGCGAGTATCATGCCCTTTGTTCTCGCTTCCAAGAACTGCTGTTGCTTCCAGGTGAGTCTTAGTCCTCCAGAACCTGTCTCATTTCCATGGCCAGGCCACAGCTGTGCCCAGAGCCTTGGACACCAGCTGGAGGGCAGCAGTGTGGTTGAGACCCAGGGCAGAAGCATTAAGCTTGTTGCTCACTGTCCCACAGAGGATTATTTTATGCCTCCGCCGAAGCGTAGTTTATGCTACTGTGAATCTTGCCGGAAGATGCGAGGAGATGAGGCCCACAGGCGCAGAGGAGAGCCCCCCCAGGAATATGCCCTGCCCTTTGGGTGGTGCAGGTTCAATCTCAGGTACCTATTTGAGCCACAGTTGTGCATTTCCCCCAGTGCTTTTTGTCCTGAGAAGGGACAATCCCTAGAGGTACATGGAAAAAGTGATAGAACTTCTTGTGTATGGGAAAAATCTTAGGGAGCTGATTACCTTTGTCCTGTCTGCCTTATCTGTCTTAGGGTGAATCCTCGCCTGGAAGCTGGGACACTAACAAAGAAGTGGCACATGGCATATCATGGAAGCAATGTAGCAGCTGTACGGAGGGTGCTAGACCGAGGGGAGTTGGGAGCAGGTATTATGGAGCGGGCTGGGCCTAGGGATCCTGGGAGGAATCACAGGGCTGCCCTGACCCAGGTCTCTTCATAGGTACTGCGTCCATCCTGAGCTGCCGACCCTTGAAGGGAGAGCCTGGGGTAGGATTTGAGGAGCCTGGTGAGAACTGTGTACCTCCCCGGGAGGAGCAGCCCCCTCCAGTGCTGCTCTCCCCCTCCCTTCAATATGCTGGGGCCGAAACCCTGGCCTCCAAAGTGCAGTAAGTACTGTAGAAGGAGAGCTCCAGGGTCTCCCATCTAGAGAGGCCCAGGGTCCTTTGGGTTCTGATGATTCCCCTTTCCCCTTTTCTCACCCTGGCTTGCTGGTTGTTCCTCCACCTGATCCTTTGCTTCACGGTAGTTACTGAAGATATCACTGATCACATGCTATCTGGGGAAAGGCAGAGTGTGTGTGGGGAAACAACACCACACCACACTACACTGGACCTTGCTCTCATGAAACTCATGTCTTCTCTCTAGAATATTTGTTACCCTTTAAAATTTTACTTTTCAAGAGTCTTAAGCAGCCCAGGGTGACCCCAAATTTAATATGTAGGAAGCTAGCCTTGAACTCCTGATCTGCTTGTTTCCATTTACCTCCTGAGTGCTGGGATTGGAGGAGTGTACCACTGCCCCTGGTTTTTCTAGGATGCATACCAAATCCTTAGAGTGGCCTACACCAGGCCCTGGGTTTGATCTCCAGCACTGCACAAACTGGGCATAGCAGCACATGCCTGTACAAGAGGTTTGAGGCCAGCCTAGGCTAGAGACCCTGTCTCCAACAAAAAAAGGTGGGAGGGAGTGTGTGTGAAGCAAATAAGATGTAGGATTGGAATCGAGATAATAAATTGAGTGCCAGGGTGAACAAATACATGATGAAGGGTGAAGTGACATGATGGAGTTGGCTGAGCAGGCTTTGGGAGAACAGACAGAGAACAGCTGGAGCTAAGGCCTTTTGTGGTGGGAGTATTTCCCAAGAATAGCAAGTGTTGTGTGCAGGCAACAGAATTAGCAGCCAGGGCTTAGCTGCCTTCCTCCTCCTCTCCTATTTCTTGTCTAACAGATTCCGGGACCCCAAATCCCAGCGGACACACCAGGCTCAGGTGGCCTTTCAGGTGTGTGTACGCCCTGGCTCCTATACCCCTGGCCCACCTTCCACTGCCCTCAGAGAACTTCCTGACCAGCACTTCAGCCCAGCGGAACTTGAGTGGGTTACTAAAGAAAAGGGAGCCACACTCCTCTATGCCCTGCTGGTACGGGTGGAATGAGGGGTGAGATGCCACTACTATAAGCACAGCTGGGTCTAAAGCCCAGTACCTGGTGACGACTGCCTCCACCTCATTCCACTGACTTTTGGCATGTACAGGTGCTTTCCTTGGCAGAAGGAGGGAAGCACGTATGCAGGCTTTGATTCAGGCCGGGTGTGAAGCACACATCTCTACATTCAGGGCCCAGCACACTCCCTCTGCTGGGAGGGAACCTGTGGGGAGCCCAGCTCCAAGCCCTGGGTCCCTCCTTAGTGCACTGATTGGGAAACACGACTCCCGATTACTACCCCCCCCCATCACTTAATTTATTTCCGTTTTTGTTTCTGATTACTGTGAATTCCAGGAGTCTCCCTGTGCCCACAAGAAGCTGCTTTTTCCGGGGTCATGGGACGGGAGTGGGGAAGGAAGGGCGGTGCAAGGAAGACAGCGGGCCATCTGTACAGTTGTTACTGATTTCTAAGGAGCCAATAAATGCCGTCTCAGAGCCTCTGCCTCTGCCTCTCTCTCGGGGGTCCTCTCGAGATGAAGAGTTCCAAGGGCTGTTGGCAAGTGGCCAAATCGGCCCTGGCCGCGGCAAGCCCACCGCGTGGAGTTTGGACATGCGGGCACCCGTCTCCACGTGCTTCTGCTTTTCCCTCGTCCAATCCCCTCGGCCGGTTGCCGTCATGACTCCGGAAGGATTTAACAGGGACACAGGATGTGACGTAGGGTCTGAGGCGCGCTGGAGGCCCCAGAGATCGCCTAGAAGGCGGGTAGGGGTGTTGCGCCAGAGCTGCGAGGGAGGGGCAGGGGCTCGGAGCCCAGGACCCCTGCACTCCGCGGGACTGGGGCTGCGATCCCGTGGGCGCGGCCGCCTAGGACACGACCGCGGCGGCTGTAGACGGCAGAAGGGCTTCCGCCTTGGCCGAGCGCAAACCTGCTGAGTGCACGCTCCCTCGCAGGCCCAGTCTCCGGTCTGGTAGTCAGTGACAGAGCGGGGCGCCCACTGCCCGAGCGCCGCCAGTTAGCACCATGCCCGCTCTTCTGGAGCGTCCCAAGCTTTCCAACGCCATGGCCAGGGCACTTCACCGGCACATTATGATGGAGCGGGAGCGCAAACGGCAGGGTGAGCCAGGGCTGGAGCGGGAGGATGGACACACGGCCTTGGGTGGCTCTGCTACCCACGAGCTGGCTGGCCCCCACCCACGGTGGAGGCAGTGCGCCCACTGGCGAGGCCAGAGGGAGGCAGCGGCGCCTTCGGGGTGTATGAAGAGGCCTGGTTCACAAGATCCAGGGCCCTGAGCTGGGAAGGACCTTGGAGAGCACCTAGTGAAGCTTCACTCGGTGCCTCAGTGATAGGAACGAACCGTGGCTGAGTACACGGGAATAATGGAATGATTGGTTTTTGCTGGTTAACATTCAGCTTTATTTTCACTACCCTACCGCTTCCCCGTTCTGATTCTCTAGAGGAAGAAGAGGTGGACAAGATGATGGAACAGAAGATGAAGGAAGAGCAGGAGAGAAGGAAGAAAAAGGAGATGGAAGAGAGAATGTCACTAGAAGAGACCAAGGAACAAGTAAGCAGTCCCCATCACTCCCAGCTCTGGCTTCTTCTCTTTCTTCGCCCTACCTTTGTGTTCTTCCCTCCTCGTCCAGATTTTGAAGCTGCAAGAGAAGCTTTCAGCTCTGCAAGAGGAAAAGCACCAGCTTTTCCTGCAGCTCAAGAAAGTTTTGCATGAGGAAGAAAAACGGAGGCGGAAGGAGCAGAGGTGCGATCAGAGAGCTAAAAGTAAAAATGGGGGGCAAAGTGGAGCAGGTGAAGAGTCGGTGTTTAACAGAAAAAGAAGGGATACCTGCCTGTGACTTTGATCTATCTTCCTTTCACTCCAGTGATCTGACCACTCTGACATCAGCTGCATACCAGCAGAGCCTGACTGTTCACACAGGAACACACCTCCTCAGCATGCAGGGTGAGGACTAGAGAAATCACCTGACAGAAGGGGCCTTCCTGGAGGTTGCTGCCCTCCATTTCAGCATCATGAAGCCCCTCTCCCTTTCTAGGGAGTCCTGGAGGACACAGTCGCCCAGGTACTCTCATGGCAGCTGATAGAGCCAAGCAGATGTTTGGACACCAAGTGCTTACGGTGAGAGAAATGGTGTTTGTTCTTTTAATGTTTTAAGACTCTTTTAGGATGGTCTTGGAAAATGATCCTACCCCCATCTCCACCTCCGAAGTGCTAGGATTACTGTTATCTGCCAGCATGTACAGCTTGGAGAAATAGGTTTGGATGTGTAGCCCTAGTTGTGTTCCCCTGCTTTCTCAGCCACCAGTGTTAAAAGTACAAGCATGCACATAGGAGCATCTTAAGATACATACACAATGAGGTTTTGCTTCTAAGTGCTTTTGTAAGTAGAGTTTACATCTCTCTTAGACCCGACACTACGTGGGCTCAGCAGCTGCTTTTGCAGGAACCCCAGAGCATGGACAATTCCAAGGCAGCCCAGGTGGTGCCTATGGGACTGCTCAGCCCCCACCGCACTATGGGCCCACACAACCAGCCTATAGTCCTAGCCAACAGCTCAGAGGTTAGTGTTGGGAAGAGGGAGGTTTTCCTCTGAGCCTAGAGGGGAGAACTAATGGGTATGCCTCCTGCCTTCCCAGCACCCTCAGCATTTCCTGCAGTGCAGTACCTATCTCAGCCACAGCCACAGCCCTATGCAGTACACGGCCACTTTCAGCCCACCCAGACAGGTGATAACACCCTGGGCAGGAGCCCTGACTTCTTGGGTCCCCTCATTATCTACTTATTTCACATGCCCCTCTTCCCCATTTAGGGTTCCTCCAGCCTGGTGGTGCCCTGTCTTTGCAAAAGCAGATGGAACATGCTAATCAACAGACTGGTTTCTCTGACTCAGTGAGTATAGAGGCCTAGAAGGTTACTTAGAAGGGCTGGGTTAAGGGGAGCCCCAGTATGCCTCAGGTTAACTTTGTCCTCTGCAGTCTTCCCTGCGTCCCATGCACCCCCAGGCTCTGCATCCAGCCCCAGGACTCCTTGCTTCCCCCCAGCTCCCTGTGCAGATGCAACCAACAGGAAAGGTAAGGATAGCTGTCAAAATCCACATACTACTGAGGAAACCCTTCTACCTCCCACTGACTGTCTCTCCCTCCCCCCCCCACTCCTCATGGGCTAAGGGTGTATGTCTGCCCACTGACAAAGCTTTCCTTTTAACACCACCAGTCAGGCTTTGCTACTACCAGCCAACCCGGCCCACGCCTCCCCTTCATCCAACACAGCCAGAACCCACGATTCTACCACAAGTGATGACCAGATATCTTCACCTTACCCCTTCATCTTCCATGGGTGAGGGTCTCCTTCTATGTACCCCAGGCCAATAAAATACCTACTACCATTGCCTGGACTGCCATTTGTTTTGCTTCCCTCGCTGTTGCCTGGTAACTGCAAAGGCTACTTAGAGGAGGGGTTGACTGGCAATTCTCTGGCAAGTTCAGAAGTCATTAACAGACCCAGTAGCAGATTTCAGTCTATGTTCTTGGTATTCCAAGAACATCTTCCAGTCAACAGAAAACCATGTAATTCTAATGACCAACTGAGTTGGGAGCTTCATATTAAACTTGTAGTTTTATTCAGGTTTGATTTTAACAAATGTGTCGGGGAGAGAGCCCACAGGAAAGGTGAAGCCCATGGAGGCAGGGCCCTCCCAGATGCCTGAGGAGGGAGCATGCCCTCCCCCCACCCCTTCTTACCACCCCTAAAGGGGTTTGGGAAGAGACACAGATAGGAAAGGGGCTGGTCCCCAGTCTGTACAAGTGGTGCTTGGGGTAAAGGGTTATGGAGAGAACAGGGGACCAGACCAGGGCCAAATGGGAGAGGGCACAAGGACCATTTGCCAGAATCCACAGCTTTCTGATTCCAAATTGAATTAAAAAACAAAAACAAAAAAAAACCAACAAATCCCAAAAAACTAAAGCACAAGCAGCACCCTCCTTTCCCCCACCAGGGCTGTAGTGTGAGGGAAGAGGCAGGTAGCTCCACCAAGGCCATGGCTCCCTCATTCCTGGCCAAGGGAGCTAGGTGAAAGGGTCTCCCCGACAGTTTGAGGGGGTGAGGAAAACCAAAATAAAACATCAAATAAATTGTATGGGAGTCCAGCCAAAGGCCCGGCCAGAGCAGAGCCAGGCTGGGGGAGGGGCCTCTGCAGGCTCAAGGATCACTGCTGCCACCACCGCCAACCTGGGCAAAAGAAAAGAAAAAAACAACTTTAAGACAGGACAAAACTTCAACATGAAGGGTGGGGAGGACAGGACAGAAACTGATGTGGACAACAGTGTGAAGGCTGTCACACTTACCTGGGAGCCAGTTATTTTGCCATGGCCTTGATTGCAACAGCTGCCTCCTCTGTCATGGCAGACAGCACCGTGATCTGGAAGAACAAGGATAGTCCAGAGATGCTTCAACTCAGAGTCTGAAGCACAAGCAGCAAAGCTAAGTACAAGGTGGGGAGAGGACACCATACCAGGATCTCTTCTCCGCAGTCATACTTCTGCTCGATCTCCTTGCCAAGGTCACCTTCAGGCAGACGAAGGTCCTCTCGAACCTCCCCACTGTCCTGGAGCAGTGATAGGTACCCATCCTGGATGCCAATCAGCTGGGGAAGGAAAAAAAAGTTCAAAGTAGATGAGGTGGTACAGACCCTTAGTCCCAGCACTTGGACGGTAGAAGCAGGTAGATCTGAGTTCCAGGCCAGCCAGGGCTACATAGTGAGACCTTGTCTCAAAAAGCAGGTGCAGGTATGCTGAGTACTAGAACTAGAGCTAGTTGACAGCAAACATATACCAGATATCTTCTCTGCCAGTTTTTCCTTTTCTCCCAGTTTCTGATCAATCCATCTCTTCTCCTGAACAAGCCAAGCCTCCTCCCCCCAACCATTAACTCTTCTTTCTGCCAAACACATACCTGGAAGTCATTCCTTTTGATGTTGGGGACATCCATATTATGAGTTGATGGGCAGATATCTTCATATTTCTTCCCAGTAAAAATGTCAATACCAACCAGGTGGACCTGTGTACATGTATCATAAAGAGAAACTCAAACTCTAGGATGCAGGAGGTAAAGGTTCATGTCACTGGCTAGAGAAGTCAGCCTACCTTATTAGAATAAAGATTAGAGGAGTTAAGAATGAACCAATCAACAAGAAAGATTAAAGCCTTAAAAAAAAAAAAAAAAAGTCCCTGAAGTCAAGATTACTACTGAGATTAGGGCTGACAGTACAGAGGAAAGTGGTGGGGCAGACCTAGGGAAATCAGTCACACTGAAGTGTGATGTCAACCATCTTTAATCCCAGCACTCAGGAAGCAAAGGCAGGCATATGTCTAAGATGGAGGCCTGCCTGGTCAACTGGAAGTACAAGGAGACTGTCTCCCCAAAACAAAGCAACGGCACTGGGGATGTCACGCAGCTTGATACACTGTCTGCCCAACATGCACAAGGGCCTAGGTCTATTACGAGTGTGCCACACGCCTATAATTCCAGCACTAGGGAGGATGGAGGCAGAAGGACCAGAAGTTCAAGGTCCTCCTTAGTTACATACTGAGTTTTAAGGCCACCCTGAGAAACCTAAGACCCAGTTCAAAGAGTAGGGGAACATTCCCCAAACACCTAGAGCCTAAGGAAGAGGGTGGAGTCTAGGTAATAAAGTTTCAAGGACACCCACCTAACAGACTAAATAAGTAAAAGAGAAAAGGTTGAGACAAGCAAAGGAATGTAAAAGGAAAAGACCTGAAAAAATGATCCAGGAGACAGAAAATCAGAACTAGGCAATTAGGAAATAAGAGGTAAAAAGGATCAAGCATTAAGAGGATAACCTAGGATCAATGCCAAGTCAACAAAAGATGGAAAATGTCTAGGGAGTAAAACCTAAGACATTCAACAATGAATCAGGTTGAACACCTTGAGAAAAAGATAGGGAGAGGTCATGATGTTAAAAGTAAAGATATTTAGGGAGGCACATAGAACTCAAGGGGGGAATCAGAGACCGTTAAGAGGGAATGCGACACATCAAAATTCCAAACTAAAAGCCAGAACTGGGAAGAAAAGCAGCTAAGTGACTTGAAAATTCAGATAGGCTGGAGGTCTCCCCTCCTCCAAGAAAGGCTGCCTTCTGTGTCCGGACTAGAAAAATCCTCAACAAAGTACAGAAACAAAGCAACTACCAAGGGCCCAAGGAAGAAAAGAAAACAAGAAAAGTTGAAGGTCAAGAATAAACAACCAAGCATATCCAGAGACTGGCACAAGGCTGAAAAAGAGGGAAAGAATGACAAGAGACACAGAAGTGTGTCATGAAGAGTCTGGAAACTGTGAGCACGTACAGTTTTGAATGGGTATAAAGGGCTGAGTGTTGAAAAAAAGACTAGGACAGCGAGAAGAGGACAAGACTGAAATCAACAGCTCACTGTCAGGAGCCCTATGGATACAGGAGCTGCAGGGAAATCAAGATGTGGAGAGGTGAGATTCTAACCTTGGCATGGCCATGCTTGCCAGTCTTCGAAGTAGACATCTCGACGATCTTACATGGCCGGCCTTTGAGCACCACAAAGCCATTCTTACGTAATGCTGAGCACTGCATTGGGAAGGTGGCTGAGGCCCCTGCATCTCCTGTCTCGAAGTCCAAATCATCTGCCATTTTAAGAGGCTTCGATTCCAACTAAAGCCAAGAAGAGAACTAGGGTCAGTAAGGATGGAGGTTAACAGGACCTCTAATCTATCCCATTCCTCTCTAGAAACATTGCTCCATTCCCCCCAACCCTTTATTCCATTACCCATCTAAATAAAGTCAAAGTTCCTGGACTTTGGAACTGGGGTCAAAATATACTGAAGAGTTACTGTATGGGAAAAACAGCTGGATCCTCCCCGCTAAATGAATTCTAAAGCTGTTGCTTGGGAAAGGAAGGCTCCAGGGAGTTGGGATGCCATATCCCAGAGATGAGGAAAGGGGCAACTTCCCGGGACGGGGGAGGACTCAGGTGTTACCTGCAACTGAAACCAACCACCCCTTTTCCCCACACACAGCCAGGGCTATAATTAGGTGAGCAGCTATGAGCCAGCAAAAGGGTGGGGCTAATGGAGGGGTGGAGATGTGAGGTCGAGGCCCCACCCAGCTGTTACACCCCCCACACCTCTATCCACACACACAAGCCAGTCATTGGTACAGGAAACCACAAGGCCACTTTGGGGGATTCCCGCCTCTCCAACATGCACTAGCAGATGCAGCCAAGGGAGAGAAAGTAGTTTCCTAAATGATCCCACTGCCAAACACCTAGATCTCAGTTCCCGAAGGGAACCCAGCCTTTTGCAGAGGGCCCTCCCACTTTTCCCAGGATGCACCAGTCCTGTCGGCTTTTCAGGCCCAGCCAGTACAGTCAGTAGAAAGTGGGGAATGAGGGGTGAATGACAATAAAATGAAAGCAAAAGGTTGGTAGTAGTAACAGAAATCATATTAGGCTGGTAGAGTTAAGGACTTTAAAACACAGTAACTCTCTCAAAGCAAACACAACGGGGAAGGTAGTGACAAGGTGAAGACCGAAGATCACCTCGGGAAACTATCTGTTCAGTACTTTGAGGCACTGTCGGCACCGGCCGAGAAGAGTTGGGCTCCAATCCAACTCTCCGGACTCCCCAACATGGAAGTACCACTTACATCTGGCTGGACGTCTCACTTCACATAGAGGCTGGGGGTGAGCTCCAGGGGCCCACGAGGCTGGGGAGCACTAACATATGCCCGCAGCAGGCCACGCGGGGTGACTGAGACCAGGGCCCCGGCTCTCTCCCGTACACCGAAATCCCAGGCTCCCTAAAAGCCCACAAAAGAACCGGTCCTTGAGCTAGGGGTTGCCGGCTCGCGCCCACCATGTGGCCGCCCGGGGCTTCCGGTGGCCGGGACCAGGGGGGAGGGATCCCTGTGCTGCCATGCGGACCCGGTCCATGTTCGGCCACATGGCCTCGGACCCCCGAAGGCAGCCTCCAGTGGGGGGCACTTCCGGTGCTCCACTGCCCCAGCCCCACAGCTGCGCCAGGCCAGGCCCACGCCGCCTCCCCTCCCCCCGCCGGCCGCCAACCCCCTCCACATACCCTCTCACGGAACAGCCCCCTCCCCCACCTCACGTGGCCGCGCGGCGCCCGGTCCTCAACCGCCCAGGGTCCCTGGCCGCTGCGGGGCCGATCTGGCCCCCGGCTCTCGCCCTGGCGTGGCAGCTTCGCGGCCTCTCCCGCGTGGCGGCCTCGCGGCTCGCCGTCCCCCGCCCTGCGTCGCTCCAACGTCACCCAGCCGGCCCCAACCGTCACCGCTAGCGCCAACCGGGCCGCGTGCCCAAGCCTCTCCGCATCTCGCGCCGCTTCCCGACCGATCCCGTGCGGCGGCGGCCGCCGCTCCCTTCGGCCCCCTCCCCGACCCCCGAGTAGTTCCGTCTCTCCTTCCCGGCCCAAACCAACGTTCCGCGCAGGCGCGCCCTGCCCGCTCTCACCTCGCGCGAACACACTGACTCGACCCCGTCCGCTCGCCGCGAGCCCAACCGCTGCCTCGGAACCCGCTACCGCCGCCGCCGCCGCCGCCGCCTCTAGCGTCGCCGCCGCCGCTGCTGCACACGGGTCTTAGTACGCAGGCGCCGACTCCCCACTGACCAACCAAGCAGCCCTCTGACAGCGGCGCAAGCGTGCTAAGTAGCTCCTCCGCCCTCCACCCCCGCACTGCGCAAGCGCATGGACCCTCCCGATCTCCACCCTCTCTCCCACCTACCCATCCAATGACGTGCATACGTGACCCCGCCCCTCACCTAGCCGGAGCCCTTTCAACCCGCCCGCACTGCGCAGGCGCGCCCGGTTTTTTAATTCCTTTACCCTCCTCTTCTCTTCCCTTGATGGACCGCTCGCACTACCGGACAGGCCTTGCGGCTGCGCAGTAAGGAACTCTGCACTCCACACCCTCCGAGGGAAACGCCTGGGTTTCACACGCATGCGAGTTGGGCCTCCTAAACGCCCCTTCCACCTCCGACGTCCCCTGGACGCTGGGTGTTGAAAAGACCATGCTGCGCTACTGCTTGCCGCCGTCGAGCGCATGCGTCTGAGGAAGCGCCCCACCTTGGCTTGGCTGGAGTGGAACGACCCACACGTTCCGAAAACTTGGCCTGTGAGGTGGGCCGCTTCTCGGAATTGCTCCTGGTTCTACACATGCGCAGTTCGTTGCCTTCCACCCTCTTTCCTTCCGCGCTAGTATGGTGGGCTCTCTGCCCATTTCGGATTCACTTCACCAAACTTTACACCTCCTCTGTACCGTAGTTTGTCTCGAAAAGCCAGAGTCATCCGGTACCAGCCACCATCTTGTTTAAGCCCTGGTTGGTGTCGGTCCTATGGCTTCCACAGAAGCTTTTTCCACCCTTAGATCCTAAATAATTACATAGCGTTTCCCAAGTGAGCTTAGGGTTTCTAAAAGAAATGTCTACAGTTTCCTCGGAAATCAAACTTACGGGGCTGGTGATACGGCTCAGCGGGCTAAAATGCTTGCCACCAAACCTGTGTTCAATCCCCGGGACCTCTGCACACCTACACACATGAACAGATAATTCAAAAAAAATTAAAAGTCAAACTCTATACCACATAAAGTAGAGTGGAACTGGGCAAGGTTGCACAGACTTATGATGCCAGAGACATGGGAGGCTGCCGCGGGAGAACTGCAAGTTCAAGGCCCGCATAAGAAATTGGTCGTGGGGGCTGGAGCGATGGATCAGCGGTTAAGAGCACTGATTGCTCTTTCCGGGTTCTTATTGTTAGCTCTAGGGCTGACAACAGTCCCTAACTCCAGTTCCAGGGGATCTGACGCCTTCTGATCTCCGCAGGCACTTCTCAACACGGGTGCACTTACACACATGCAAGCAATACACTCATACACATTTCTTTAAAAAGTGGGCCATGGAAGTTTATGTCTGTAATCTCAACGCTTGAGCCAGGAGAACCGCCAGCCTGGGCTACAGACTGTTAAAAAAATAAAATAAAATGCAATATTAACTACATTGACATTCTCTTAATCACAAGGGATTACCAAGCTATCATTTTAGAGAATAATGCTGTTGCTTTTCTTGAAACATAGTCTTCCTCCCAATTCCTAGGTTTCCAGCACTACCTTCATCACTAAGTTGACAGGTCACTTAGCTAGGACTGTGAAAGAAGAAATAAAGATCAAGTCTAGGGAGAGCATAAGGCACATGACACTGATTCCAGCACTTGGGAGGTGGAGGCTGGAAGAGTGCTGCAAACTCAAGGTCAGCCTGGTATACATACTGAGTTCCAGACCATCTACAGCTACGCTTACCAAGACCCTGTATCAAAAACTACTAAACAGGCCAGGCCTGGTGGCACACACTTAATCCCAGTATTTGGGAGGCTGTGGGGGGCAAATGTAAGTTCAAGGCCAACCTGCTCTACATAGTGAGTTCCAGAACATCTGGGGCTACAGGGAGATCCTCTCTCAAAAACACCAAACAAACTAACAAAAACAAAAACAAAAAAAAACCCCAAAACCCACAAAGCAAAAAATCTGGCTTTGCCAGGTGTGGTGGCGCACACCTTTAGTCCCAGCACTCAGGAGGCAGAGGCAGGCGGATCTCTGTGAGTTTAAGGCCAGCCTGGTCTACATAGTAAGTTCCAGGACAGCTGGGGCTACAGGGAGACCCTGTCTCAAAAAGACCAAGAAAAAAAAAAAATCTGGTTAATACTGAGTGTGATAGCACATACCAGCACTTGGGAGGCAGAGGCAGGAGGAATTCTGTGAGCTGGAGCCGTCCTGGTCTACATAGCAAGTTGTAGGTCAGGCAGGGTTACATAGTGAGATCCTATCTCACTATGTATCCTGGGCTAGGGATCCAAAATCTTGAACTGGTTCTTGTTTTGTATCTTTGAGAAAGTACTTCAAATTACTCTGACTTAATTTCCTTCCCTCTAAATGAGAGGAGTAATGAAGCCTGAGCTTCCAACTCATCAGGACATTTACATCCTGTGATACATGCCATATGCAAACATTAGTTTGAATTATTACATTTGTGTAGCACAGTGGACTATTCATTCCAGATCCTTCAATCACTTTCCTGAACTTCCTGACTTTTCCTATGTAATTCTAGCACTGAGGAAGCTGAGGTAGGTGGATCACAGATTTGAGGCTCTCATGGGTTACATAGTAAGACCCTGCCTTGGAAAAAAAAAAAACCACCAAAAAAAAACTTAGTGGATGCCCTGTTAAAACTATTTAAAACCCCAATTCAGTCAGGCGTAGTGGTGCATGCCTTTAATCCCAGCACTTGGGAGGCAGAGGTAGGCAGATCTCTGTGAGTTCCGAGGCCAGCTGGGGCTATAGGGAGACCCTGACTCAAAAACAAACAACCTCCAAATTCCTAGAGAGGTTTGGTAGTACCCACCTGTAATCCCAGCATTTGGGAGGTCGAGGTAAGAGAATCAGTTGAAGGTCATTCTCTGGGTGTGGTGATGTGTGCCTGCAATCCCATCTCCTGGCTAAGGCAGGATGATGGCCAGCCTGTGCTACAGAGTGAGACTCAAAACAGAATTTGATTCCAGCACTGGAAAAAAAAAAGAAAAAAATGTAGCAAGGAGTGGTGGTGCATGCCTTTAATCCCAGCACCCCAGAGATAGAGGCAGGCAGATCTCTGTGAGATTGAGACCAGCCTAGTCTACATAGTGAGTTCCAGGTAAGCTAGGGTTACAGAAAAAAAAAAAAAAAGAAAGAAAGAAATGAAATACTGGGTACATGTTACAAATGTGAGTAAACCTTGAAAACAGTTCATTTTGCTAAGTGAAATGATCATGAAGCTTGTGACTAGAGGTATTAATTACCTCAGTGGTAGTAACTAGAATTCACAAGAGCCTACCTTTAACCACCAGCATATCTCTCTCTCTCTCTCTCTCTCTCACACACACACACACACACACCACATACAATTATTCCACATATATGAAATGTTCAGAATAAAGAAAAGTCATAGAAATAGAAAGCAAGGGGCTGGAGCAATGGCTCAGGGGTTAAGAGCATTGGCTGCTCTGGGAGAGGACCCAGGTTCAATGCAGGCAATACATTCATACACATAAAACTAAAGTAATAAAATTTAAAAAAAATAAAAATGTACAGTGTTTAACACCTCTGTGTCAGTTCTTTCTGCATGCAGGAAACGTTTCTTATCTAACAATGTCATTTAAGCAAATCATTTTCTAAATAATTTCCCATTCATTGAGTATTTTAAGGTTTTAAATATACATTTTATTTATTTTTAGTTTATGTGTAAATTATTTTTAATGTTTTATTTATTTTTATTTTATGGGCATGAGTGCATGTAAGTGCATCCATGTTTAGTAGTGCCCATGGAGGTCAGAAGAGGGTGCTGGATTCCCCTGGAACTGGAGTCACAGATGGTTGTTAGCTGCCAAGGTGGGTGCTGGGAATCTGGGTCCTCTGCCAGAGCAGCCAGTGCTCTTAACCACTGAGCCATCTCTCCAATCCCATAAAATTTAAAAAAAAAAAAAGAAAAGAAAACAAGCATATTAGTGGATGCCTAAGGTAAGGGGTTTGGGGTTCTGGGGAGTGACTCCTAATGACTACAAAGGAGGGGGAGATGGGAGAAATCTTTTGGGAGTAATGAAAATTTCCTAAAATTAAGTGATAGTTGCACACCTTTTCAGATACTAAAAACCAAAGTGTTGAAGTAGGAATTGAACCTAGGGCCTGTGCATGCTAAGCAAAAGATCTCCACTGTGCTATATCCCTCCCCAGTTCTCCTTTTTTATTTTATTTTATTAGCAGAATGAACATAGATTAAGGAAAAAAGAAAAAGAACTCCTGAGATTGGGAGAGGATTTCCCCAACAGGAGCGTGCATTGTGGTTTTCTTATTTGTTTTAGGTGTTTGGGTTTTTTTTGGTCTTTTTGAGGCAGGGTCTCCCTGTAGCCCCAACTGTCCTGGAACTCACTATGTAGACCAGACTGGCCTTAAACTCACTATGTAGCTGAGTGCTGGTATTAAAGGCATATACCACTATACCTGTTTTTGTTTGTTTGGGTTTGGTTTTTTTTTTGAGACAGGGTTTCACTATGTACCCCTGACTCACTTGGAACTCAATATGTAGACCAGGCTGGTCTCAAACACAGAGATTCACTTGCCTCTGCTGTTTGTTTTTGAATCATACTTGAACTATGTGACTTTTGTAGTACATAAATTAGGAATGTCTAACCTTTTGGCTTCTCTGGACCATGTTGGACAGATTGTCCTGGGTCACACATTAAATACATAAACACAGCTGGGCGTGGTGGCACTTGCCTTTAATCCCAGCACTTGGGAGGCAGAGGCAGGCAGATCTTTGTGAGTTTGAGGCCAGCCTGGTCTACACAGTGAGTTCTAGGACAGCTGGGGCTAACAAGGAGACCCTGTCTCAAAAAGACAAAAAAAAAACAAAAAACAAAAAACAAAAAAAAAACCCACCCCAAAAACATAAACACTAATGAAAGTTGATGAGAAAAAAAAATCTATGTGTAATTTTTATATCTGCCACCAAAAATAAGCAAAAAAAGTCCTCACATAATAATCCTAATTATGTGGCACCCCATCTGGAGCGTTTTTAAAATTACATTTTATTTATTTTGTATGCATTTGTGTGTGTTTGCAGTAGTACAGATGTTGAGGTCAAAGT